CTGAGGCTCCTAACTTTGAGGAGTTCACAGTCTAGTGAGTGATAACCAAGGAGCTAATAATAGAAACAGGAATTATAGAAATGTAGGAATCGATAGCAATGAAGTTGGGGCGGGAGTGGGGGTGTGTGGGTGGGGGCTTTGGACTTACCTGACTCTTAAGAAAAGTAACCTCAGAAAGCTTACTTTATTGCGATGAGTATTAATCAGGGGACAGAGAGCCTCAGGGGATATTAATGGCCTCAAAGTTCCATTATTCCTGAATTGACTTAGTTCTTCGAATACAAGCATAGTGCTGGGGGCAAGGGAGTGAGAATGGTGTGCCTCTCTCATGTTTTGCATTATTTCCTTAAATTTTATTTCCTATAAATTCCAAGGAGTGAAATTACTAATTCAAGAGGTAAAGATTTTAAGGCTTCTAGAAAGTATTCCTAATTATTTTCTTAAAGATTGATATGACTTTATACCCCTACAGTTTTCCTCTCATCCATCAGCATGCAATAGTTTCACTTTTAAAAAGTAGGCTTTTTTTCCTACCATGGTACATTAAAAAAAGAAAAAAAAAGATATCTCAGTATTTAAATACTCATTGATTTGCCCACTAATGAGTTTGGACATTCACCACATATTTGTTGGGTTATTTGTAGTCCCTATTCATGATTTTTGTCTATTACTTTAATGGAAGAATTATTCATAATGTTCTAATTAAAGTGTAAAAGATTTTTGGATATTTTATGAATTAACGATATTAATCTTTGCCAGCCCTTCATTTGCACCCAGCCTTTCCCTCTTCTAAGGCCATCACTCATGGTAAAGTCTTCCAGCCAGTAACCTCCCATCCGGGTGCCACCTACCAAACAAAACCTCAATTTTGGGTCAACCTACTGACCCCCTTTTCTGCTCTAATACCCATTGCTGAGCTCTGCTAGACTAAAATTATTTATGTGGGGATTGCTGCTACCACAAGCCCTCTGTTCTCATCCTCTGTCCAATACTCCTCCGTGTCTGAATCAGCTTTCTCCCATATTCCCAGTCATTTCACACGTTCCCTCCTTTCAACCCTCACCACCTGCTTTCTGCTTCTTTCAGGGAACCCTTTGTTTTGTTTTGTTTTAATTTATATATAACTGACATATAATTGACATATGACATTGTATTAGTTTTAGGTGTACAACATAATGGTTTGATGTTTATGTTGTAAAATGATTACTACAATTTTAGTTCAACATCCATCATCTCACATAGATACAAAAATAAATTTACTCTCTTAGCAACTTTTGTTATAATGCCTCCCTCATTATGTGATTCTTAGCTTCTTTCATAGTTTAGGAGGTTGTCAGGAATATGATGATGATGATGATGATGATAATAATAATAATAATAATAATTAATAATAAAAAGAAGAAACAACGGGGCAGTATGTGGAATTGGATACATAAGTTGTGAAACTCAAGTCATGGTTCAATGATTCCTTCAATTTGAACTCTGGAATATTTTATGTTTAACAAACACACAGCACTTACTAAATAAAAACTACAGGTGTGTTTTATAGATATTGACTCATTTAATTCTTATGACAAGTCTAAGAAGTAGATTCTATATTATTACATCTAAGGAATTAAAGAGAGATTAAAAATAACTTGTCCAAGATCACAGAGCTAGTAAGTTGGGGTCTGAATCAGGAAGTCGGCATGACTTCCCCAGGGTCATCTTCCCTGTCCCAGGACTTGTCAGCCTCTGCTGTCCCCGTCCACACCTAAAAGGATAGCTGGGGAGGTCACAGAGGTGAGCAGGAAGCCTTCTCCTCACACATTTTTCAGGTATCCCTGGGGATTGCTTGTGGCTCACCCAGAGCAGAACCTATGTCCCCTATCATTGGTGTCTCTCTGCACCTGGAGCCCAACCTGCCTTCATACACACCCTCCTCCCCAGCCTCACCTCTCTCTCCTCTCCTGCTTAGCTCTTTGCTCAAATCTGTCCCCATATAGCCGTAACCTAAATCCAGTTCCTCCACCCCTCCAAGCTCCTTGCCCTCCCCAAAGGAATCCCCATCCTAGAAGAATAAAATAATTGGTTGAAAGGTAGGAAAGACCTTCTATTGGGTTGTTGGAAAAGTCATGACACATTTTTGCAACGAAAACTATAGAAAAATATGTCTTGACTTTTCTGACAACCCAGTAGTAGTTGGAGTTATTGAGATATGCAGGGGGCTTCCTCAGGGCAAACAAGCTCTTTATTCCTGGGACAGCTATGCAGATAAGAGGAAATGTATGTGCTTTTTAGGGGTGGTTGGAATAAATGATGGCTAAGATCTCTTCCAAATCTGAGATTCTGGGATTCTCTATTTTATAACTTCCTAGTGTTGTTTTAATTTGTATTTAATATTTTTAAAGCATTTAAAAAAGGTCTCCTCTTGAATGTCCTGAAACATATCTCTTCTCCGCTTGTATTAGTTCTACCTTTAGTACTGATGCTTATCACAAAGGGTACTGGGACACATCCACTTCCTCTGGAGAGGTTTTCCTCTATCTTTCTTCTCCTAGAGCCACCCCCTTCAAATGTTCTCAAGACCCTACTTCCTCTCAGGCTAAAGGTCATTTTTGACATATTATTTTCCTCATCGTGTCCAGGTCAATACCTACTGCTGATAATTCTGCCTTCCATCATCACATGCCATTGACTTCCAAGAAGTTGAATCAAGTCCAAGGTCTTCAGGACCAATAACTAGTGAATCAGCATTAAAATGACATACTAATCCTGCAGTTGCCTGTCTTTCTTTTGGAGATAGGAGGGCCCTATGGAAGAGAACCAATATGTGTCATGTTTCTTTGTAGTTTATAGAGTGTTTTCATATGAATTCTCCCCTTTAATCCTCACAATGCTAGGAGACAATACAGTAAAACCTTGGGTTGTGAGCAACTTGGTTTGCGAGTGTTCCGCAAGATGAGCAAACATTTCTAATACATTTTAACGTGGAAAACAAGCTATGTCTTACAATAGGAGTAGTTTGCTTCCAGAACAAATTATGTTCAAAACCAAGGTATTACTGTAATTATCCTCACTTTACTGATCAGGATACTCAATCTCAGAGAGCTGAGCAGACTCAGGCCTGATGTCACAATCTGGGAAAATCAACCACGAAATTGTTAGAAACTGTCTTGTCCCAGTTATCAGATCCCAGGCCTTGTGATGGTGCTGTGTTTTTATGAGGTCAATAAAAATCAACATAAATATCTTTATTCCTGGCATCTCTGTGTGATGTTTATATGTGGCTGAGCTGGGCAGGAAAGCAAATGGGTCAGTACTGGGTTTCTGTTAAGATCTCAGTTGGGGGTTAACTGCTGGGCTAGGCAAGCTCAGTGGGAGGGGCCCGGTCAGGAGAGGAGAGTGCTGCTGGTCATCTCCATTCAGAGATGTTTGATGAGCTGCAATCCTGATCTAATCTGCCAATAGATCCCTTTTATGCTCCAAGCTATCACTATTGGCCTCTCTAGTGCCAAGGTTTCTTTCATAAAGCTGACAGAATCTGAGAGGCTCATCCATCCCTGCCATGAAAGGCATCCGAGGAAGCAACTGATTTACAGAGGGTGCCAAAAAAATGTATACACATTTTAAGAAAGGAAAAAAAAAACTGTATTAAAATTGTAATACTCAATATATACTGATAAAAGATGAATGTAAGTCACGCTTGACTTCTGCAATTACAGAGGTGCTCAAAGTGGTTACCATCAGCATAATTTTAATAGTTTTTTTCCTTTCTTAAAATGTATATACATTTTTTTGGCACCCTCTATATACGTCTGTCAATTAAGTTCCCGAACTCATCCTAGGACTAGGGCTACATACCTCATTGCTGAATATTACTATGGTCACCTTCGAAGTACTCCCCTTGGGAAACCATGCACTGATGCCAACGCCTAGTCCACCCTCCAAAGCAATTTTGGAACTCTTTTTCTGGAATGGCCATCAGAACTGTTGTTGTAATACGCTTGATGTCCTGAATGTCATCAAAATGTCTTCCTTCCAATATTTCCTTTATCTTCTGGTAAAGAAAGAAGTCATTGGGGGTCAGATCAGGTAAGTAGGGAGGGTGTTCCAATACAGTTATCTGTTTACTGGCTCTAAACTCCCTCACAGACAGTGCTGTGTGAGCTGGTGCATTGTTGTGATGCAAGAGCCATGAATTGCTGGTGAAAAGTTCAGGTCGTTTTCATCTAACTTTTTCACGCAGCGTTTTCAGCACTTCCAAATAGTAAACTTGGTTAACTGTTCGTCCAGTTGGTACAAATTCATAATGAACAATCCCTCTGATATCAAAAAAGGTTAGCAACATCGGTGCAACAAATTCGTGAACTTAATGGTCAGACCTTAATTGTCTGTTTATTGGACCCCCACATGTAAAACGCTGAGCCAGACTTTGGTGCTTCAAAGAAGCATCTTATAAGATACAGCCCATGACCTCAGCTTATAGTCTTGTTAGTTCAATTACATGCAGTTAAGTTGTGGGTATTTAGTCAGGCAGCTACATTCGTTGGCCACTGTAAGTGTAAGTCCCCTTGGCCCACCATCTTAATGTTCCACAGATTCTCTCCACCACAGAGCACAGATGCACTTACTTTTGCTTCTCCTCTAAGAGGCAAAGAGTTGGCATGGAGTGGTAGTGAGAGGCATGCAGGAGGAAACTGTGTCTGAATTGGTTACTTATGCCTCTGAATCCACAGAAAGAAAAGTAGACAAAAGCGGGTGTTATACCTAAATTAGTTTTTTTTTATCGTTTAGGTCAATCTGTCCATCCGTCCATCATCCATCCATCCATCCTCAAAAGTATATTTCCTTTCTGTGCTGGGCACTGAGGATGCAGAAATGACTCAGTCCCTACATTTTCCATGTTAAGAGGTCACTGTAAAGAGTTTACTGCAAAGAGGGCCATGATTTAAGTGATGTCCTCATGAGAAATAACCTGCTGTACTATCTGGTTTGCTTGTTTTTACGAGAAAAACACATAACAAAAATGATATTTATTTTATTGCATCATTTTACTGACTAGAACGCCAGACTTATAGTGGATATGTATAAAAATAACCCAATTCTTACAAATAATACTTTGCTGCTACAGTACTGAATAATTAGTGGAGGTTGTAATTATAGTACAACTTTAAATAACATTCTCATAATGGATTTAACACAATCAATCAGGGGCTAAGGTGTAAAGGTTTGCAAAGAGAAATCCAGTATGTGAAAACTCAGAAAGTTCATATTCCAGCTATATGCTTCATTTAACCATAAATCTAGCAACACAAATATTAAGAAAACGTAACAGCCACTCATGATGAAAGATCTTTTTGTAACGAAACAGGCCAAGGTAATACAGAAAGATCAATGAGTCAGGTTATTTTCCCAGGTACACTGGTTCCATCATATCACTGTGTGGTCCCAGCCTTCCTACCCAATGACTACATCTGAAACGCATTAGACGTGTCTAAAAAACAGTGATAAAACCAGAATCTAATATGTCCTCTTTAAAAATGCCAACGGGATAAAGTCAGTCACAGATTTGTTTCTTTTCAGACCTAAGTTGTCCCTTGCGGTTTCACAGGTTTTTCTGTGAGCAGTTTATACCAAATAAGATGGATTGTAACACTATTGAAAAGATACTTCAGCATAACAAATTAACTGGTATTTAATCCTTCAATGTTCCTAGTATTTGAGCCAGTTTCCTTGGGGATTTGCGAAGAGAGAGAGAGAGAGAGAGAGAGAGAAAAAACGGAACACATATAGTACTCAAAAACCAACTCTACAAAACTGTGTATCCATTTCCAAAAATGCACACAAGGACCTCAGGATGCTTCATCAAGAAGGAGAAAATGGAATGTCCCTTCTAATCCCCACAAAAATTTTCACATAGAAAAAAAATATCTGATATTAAGGGTAGTCTTAAACAAGATGGAAAATCCTGAAATTCTCTCTCTCTCCAAAGTGCTTTAGTTTTGAAACCAGTGTAAGTATTTTAGAACTACGGGTCGAACCCAGGGTTTGGGTGTGTTAGGCTAAACTAAGCCAGGAGCAACTGGACTATACAGTTCTTGCTTTTCCAGGCGAAGTTCATAGAGCTACAGAACACCCAGGCACTTCACCACTGGACAAGATGGCTTAGTAGCGGTCCCAAAAGTCATGTGCAAGGGATTCCCCTACCATGTCTGCTCTGGGACTCTCACATCTGCATAAATATCATCCTTCAAAGACACTTTCTTGGGCAGCCATTGAGCCCTGTGTTGCAAAGATGCTGCCCTCCCTTTTGGGCTTACTTGAGCAATTACCTCTTCAAGAACCTAATAATCACATCTCAGTTTTTGACCCTAAATGCTATCAGCCAGCTTGATTACACTATCCACTCAGCAATTTGAACTCTACATGACTTAACTGCTTCTGAAAATAAACTTTTGCCACAGGAGGAAGACTTGTCAGCATTTACAACATTCAACTGAATATTTTCCCAACTCTGATAACATTAAAAAAAATACGCTTCCAGTATGTGGGAGCCATGCCCTTACCACAAGAAAAAGGCAAAGTGGCCCTCAGATGGACATCTAAGTCCGGCTGTGTTTGTCAAAAACCCAGGTCATCACCTTATACCTCCTACACCCAAAGCCACGTACCAATATGCTTCTTGCTAAGCACGAGCCAGCCACTATTTTGTTCATGATGACCACAAGTGTCCAAGAAGTACACGTAACAACCAACCTGAAAGGACTTTCTCAAAAGGGGACCCACTATTTTTTGCACTTCCTATCATTAGTTTAGTTACTGCTTAATAATATTAAGGTTCTTTATAAAGATTAACTTACACTTTAAGCCCCCTCTCTCACGCCCTCTTTGACAAAGTCCACTGGATGGTGAGGCATCACCAGGAAGGTGAGGCGGGGAGGTACAGTGGGCAGAGCAAGCCTGGCAGAAGGACTTGAATTCTGGCTCTCTAAGGCAAGACGTTTCTCCTTTCTGAAGGTTCCCATATCCAAGAAATGGGCACGCTCGTGCCGACCTCATAAAGGGTGTGGTGAGGCCAAGTACCTTGCAGGGAGTCTGGCTATGGTGGGAAAACCAGAGAGGCTCGCTGTGACTATTCAGACTTCCTACCTTGTCTCTAATGCCCTGGCTGGCTCATGGGAAAGAGGAAAAGACACGAGAAATAAGACCTTTTGTTTAGGAGCGTCAACAAAACCCACAGATGCTGGGAGGCCAGCAGGTGATCACCGCCCTGCTCTGAGTCACCTTGTTCCAGTATGCTACCGGATGGATGCATGGGTTCCATTTTGCCCCACTCTTCCCTATAGAAGTTTAAGTGTCTCGTGGGCAGTTAAGAGTCATTTTTCCCTTCCTCCCACCTTATCCCAGCTGTGGGGCCCTGAAACAGGACCTTGGCATTTCTGTGTGCATGAATCACACATTCCAAGGGTGTGGGCTGACATTGCGCTCCTGTGCCAGAGCTCAGAGCTTCTGCTTGCCAGGGTGCATCTAGCCCTGTGCCCTCAGTCCAGAGGCTGCAGCTGTCCTACCAGGTGTTTCCCTGGGCCCAGGCAGGACCCTTCTGGAGGTACAACCTCCAAGCAGGAGTCGAGGCAGCCCCTTCCTTCCTCACCCAGGATGGGCAGTTGGCACTGCCGAACAGTCACATTGTTTTCATGCCTTCTTAGACCCTCTCACTCTGGAGGTGCACTTTCCCCACCCCCACAAGCCCCCTAGAAATTGCAGATACTACATGAACTCAATCTTGCAAGGTGCCTGCTTTTTTCACAATAGAAAAACAACATTCTTAATCCACTTCATACGCACAAAACCCATTCACAGAAAAGCAACCTTGGAACTCACAGGACATTCTTTTCTGGACTTTGGGATTCTTCTCAAGGATGCTTCTGGGACAGAACACTACGTTTTGTGGAGCTTATAGCTTCTGGCACTGATATAGGAGATGATTTGTCAGCTGTGATGTCAGCTAAAGATGGCAGACGCATGTACCTGGGAATGGCACCCCCACCATGGCTCTGGGTCCTGCAGATGAGCAAGGATCTGATCAAGAACCAGGAAGCTGGGCCAGCTCAGGAGGAATCAAGGCTCTTGGCTCAGGTGAGCCGAGCGCAGGAGCCTGGAACTCTCCAGTTAGATGCAAGGCCATGAGGCACAAAGGGCTGTATGAACGGGTCGACAGAAAGATGCAGGACCCAAGATTTCAAAAAGGAGATGGTCTGAATTTTAAGTGGGCATTCACTGACAAAAACAAAATTCTTTTTGTATGTATCTTGTGAGATGAGTTCAGTTTAACTACTAAGAGGCCTCACACCTCACTAGCATTCCTGCTGCCACAGAGTGATGACTTGTGGAGACCACGGGATATAGGAGTTTGCACTTAAAACTGTCAGGATGCGAGTTACATAAGAATAAGGATTGGATACATTCTGAAGAGATTAGAGAACCTTGAAGAAACAACCATGCCCAGGACAGAACTGTCCCCAAAGGCTACCCCATTTCCAAAAATGTGGGTGCCACAGAGCTGCAAGCTTCAGAGTAAGAATACAATCCTCTGTGTTCTCTTCACTTTATCCAAAACTAGGATATTTCAAAAGCAGGTGATGAGAATAATCACAGTTCCATGCGGAGCAGTTAAAGACGTTGGGCACTGGATGTGCCCCTCTCTCAGGACCCATGTCACAGGGATAATAAATAAGACACGTGGAATATCCTTCCCACAGGCAAACTCTCAACCCCCTACCTGGCCAGAAGTCTTTTTAGTTCTCCAATACTGACTTGAATTAGAACCATATTTCTGGAGAGAACTATGTAGTCGTAGCAAGAGATACAAATTATTGGATGAGTGAAAATAAGTTACGTCTTCAGTGAATAAATAGCTTTGAGCAATTGGTTGAAAAGTTTACACCGAGTTTGTGGGCCAGATCAGGGATTGAAGCAAAGTCGCGGCGCTAGCAGGTAAGCAGACTTATGTGTGGCTCCGTCCCAGCTCTAGTCTTCCTCAGGAATCCGCACGGCTTCCCAAAGCTCTTGGTGTTTCAGGAAATGGAACTTGCGTATTCAGCCCATTCCTCTAACCACATTCAGCTGTAGGGACTACACCAGCTGCTTTTCCTTTAGTGGTGAAATACCAGCTCAGATCCAACCTGCATTCAGCTTTCCATTTCTACTCCATATGGAGCGGCCTCGGCCTCAAAGACGAAATCCAGAGTCCCTGACACCATGCCATGCCCCAGCACCTGCAGCTCTGGGGCTTCCTCCAGGGCCCGGAGCTGCCTGCTGGACCTCACGATGGGGCAGCTGGATGCCTCTAACTAAAACCAAATGGGAGCCGTTTTGCTCTGACCCAGACATATCTGAGACTTAATGGCAAAGTCTCAAAAAAAAAAAAAAAGGAAACCAATCTTAAATCAGTGTGTCACCCTGATGAAAAAAGGAAACTGGGGTTGTGTGCTGTGAAATCTCACAGATTTCAATGCTTCATTTAGGGGGGTTGGCTTGGAAACCGTAGCACAAGACCTAGAAACATATTAAAATATTGTTAACTTAACCTACAGCATCTCCAAACCACATGGGTTGTATAGCACATGGGTAGGAAAACAACTAAAAAGCCAGGATTTTGCTGTAAATGATTCACCAAACTGAGGCCTATGGACATGTCTGGGGGAAAGAGGCCTTCATGGAACAGACTTGAAAAACATCCAAAAGGAGAGCTCACTACCCAATTTACTAAAGTGCAAACTAAGAAAAAACTGGGTCCTTGCAACGATGCCTAATGATCTGCCCTCGCAGACATGATCCCTGGAGCCAGTGGCCAAAGCTGCGGTCACTCAGAGACGCCCCTGGTACTGGCCTATGTTCACATTCACAGTAACAAATGAGCAGCCTGCGGTGCCATGTCCACAGGTTCCATCTGTCTCCTCCCACTGTGGTCACGCCCCTCTCGCCTGTCCCACTTTCTCCTGCCACTCCAGTGTGGCTCCCCAAGTCCTGGGAGCAGCCAGCCGGCGGTGCTCCCCCTGGTGCAGTCCTCTGAGCAACAGGGGTCCCGGGCCACTCGCTCACAGCAATGGGCCCCTCTGTCTTCTCACTTAAAAGTAGTCTCTTCTCCTGCTCTCATCACTGATGAAAGATGGGTTATACTGTCCTGGGAAAATGCAAGAATGCCGTGATCCTGGTAATCCAGTGTAGGCCGGGTAGAGTCCGTTTCGTTCAAGTTCAGGATTTCTTACACTTGTGGGCTGGTGGCCAAAGAAAAGAAAAAAAGTCAATTTAGTATTCAATAGTTTTTTTGTTTGTTTGTTTTTAAAGAGTGCTACATTTTAATAATCCTAAGACGGAGGTAGCTATACATAGCAGAGCGAGGTCTGACCTAGAAGACAGGACCCACTAGGCCATTTCTTTATGGAAACTGGGATACCTTTGCCCATATTTTAAAAGGGGATTGAAAAAAAAAACCAAAACATTAATCAAGGACAGCCCAGTGATTTTAGACCAACATAGAAAAAAGACCTAGGTTAATGATTATCTTGATTATGATCAAGATTAATTATTATCTGATTAGCTTGACCTTTTAAAAAAGTATCTTTCTCTGTGGAACACAATGGCTTTAAATCCTCCCTGGCATTTGGCTGAACTCGACTGTCCCAGCCATGAATGGGGGACTGACCTTCGAAAGGTCATATGACCCCCTACCAGAGGTGTAGTTAGGACCCCAAAGCAGCGATTCTCAGGTCTCTCTGAGCAGGTACTGGCCTAGTGGGTTGTGACTACCTGATATGCAGAAGCAGCCCCCTGAGAACAACTTGGCTACTTTGAGGAGGCCCTCATTCAGGACCACCAGGGGAAAATGCTTGCCTGGCGGAAATAAAACATGAGAGCCTGCATTTAATAAGCATGAACCCTAGAAAAGCCCAGTGTACACCTGAGACCAGTGTGAGGGACAGCGCTCTCACTCAGGTGACAGCTTCATGCCATAGGCTTATACTCTGCTTCTACAGAACGCCGCTCAGCCTGTTTGTGAAATAAAGACAGAGTTTGTTCAGGTTCTTGGCTACATCTATTTAAGGCTTTAGCTAACGCCATGGAAACACAGTGAAGTTGGGTGCTATGACTCTGCAGGCCTGTTGTTGCTAAGCTGTCATGCCACGCTGGGGCTGAGGAGACCCTAGCAAAGGGTGTGAATGTGTGGCCACACCTGGGTATGACACCTGCGTAATTATGGCAGAAGTTATTAGCGTAAAAGGACTTTTCCTGACAGACAGCAAAACAAACTCCTTATGCAGAAATATCAATGGAAACATCTGAACTAGAGCTAAGTTTGGGTCTACATTTATCTTTCCCCTATGTCTTCTTATTCTTCATTCAGGTTCAAATTTTTCAAAGAGACCATCGAAAAAAATAGCTTTCTTAGCATGAACAAACCTGCCCCTCCCATCCAAAGTCTAAACCCTCCTGGTTAATCCCCATAGCGACCAGAAGGATTGCGGTTTCGGTCACAGGATTACCTAGTGCTATTAAGTCCCTGCGGGGCAAGGTTTTATGTTTATTGCTATAGCTCAAACAGCCACACATGACATAAGAAGTTACTTAACATCTATTTATTTTTCAGCTCAGATATCCCGTATATGTTTATGGCTGACGTAGTGTAATGTGCAATATACTGAGCAGGGCATTGGAGTATGACATGGATTATTTAATGTGGGACAGAAGAAGCAAAGGTCCAAGGGTGTTTCCCGTCTGTACTGTGTCCACGGCAGGACACGGCACGTTATTAAAGACCTGCTGAGTACATCAGCTTCTAAACCTCTGAGATGTGTTGGTTGAGGATGACATCGAATTGTTTTCTTTATTCCTTTCTCCAATCCCTCCGTTTCAACTATCCAACCCCATGAGGTAAAGTATGGCCAATAAAGAGATAAAAATGAAAGAGCCAAAGGCTGAGTATCACTAAATCCTTTCTCTAGCGTTCCGCTTCCAATCCGATAACTTAAAGGCAAGTTCAGTAACAAGAGGGTTATTGCTAAAACCCCATAAAAAAAGTAATGTGCTCCGTGGAAATAGCCGATCTATCTCAATGTCGAAACAAACACCATGAAAATAGATCGTAAGTGAACTGAATATTAAACTATGTGAACACGAGGTTTAAGCTGTTGTTCTCTTTAACCCCTAACTAGCTGTTGTGTTTTTACTACCACAAAACAGGATCCCTTAATTTTCAGAGGGAACTGGAGGAGCCTGAGGTCACCCTGGACATGTGAATACACACCGAGTAATACACATCCGTCATCTGGAGGAGGTTTTTGGTACTTCCATTCTCGTGCATCTCAATAGCTTCTCGGCCCCATTCTTGTGAGCGAGGGTTCTTGGGGTACTCAGCATATGGGGACATTTGGAAATCCCCACTTTTGAAGATGAGCTTGCTTATGTCATTTTTATTCTTTCTGTGGGGTAAACAATATTTGAAAAGGTACATGAAGAAGTTCTGCAAAGAAATGATATCTGTGAAAGTGCCATCTAATCTTTTACCAGGTGAATTAGACCTAAATCTACCATTATATTGCTTTGTAGCTGCCTACTTAGGAATGTTATTATTGTTGTCATTATTTTTAGTATTCGCCCAAAACAAGTAAAAATGCAATTAGGTGCAAGAAAAGATGAAAAAAACGTCTTCCAATCCAAGAGGCCAGGTTCCCAGGGGCAGAACTCTCAAAGACAGCAGCAATGGAGCTGACTTAGGCTCCTCTGGGGACAGAGATCACTGCTTCTTGGGGCCAGCCAGGGAGTTAAGAATCATAAAGGAAAGGCCTTAAGGCCTTCAGGCCTTTAGTCCGGCGCTTCCAGACTAGCTTGAACATCATAACTTACACATGTGCTCCTAGATCTCACGTAGATTGACGAAAACTGGAGCTCTGCGAAGGGTGCCACTCTGGCTTTGTGATGCGACTTGTTCTCTGGGCCACATTTTGCTACTAGAAAAGCTGGGGCTAGAATTCAGGCCTCCCAACTCCCCGGCTAGTGCTGTTTTACCGCAGGAAGCTAATTCAGAAACCATACAAACAGGATGTTTTGTTTGCCAAAAAAGCCTACCTATTTATAACCTATACATAGTCTCATTTAAGTGGATCAGGGAAACTCTGGGACAAGTCCCCTACTTGTGAGAGTTGATCGGTTAGAAATTGTTCAAAAATGTGTTATTTGCCTATCTAACAGGCCTGCTATCAGACATTTTTAGTTATATTCGCCCTAGTTAAGATAATCTGAAGTTGCTTCCTTCTACCTCATTTTCCTGTAAGTAAACTTTCTGGGAAAAGCATGCCGTAACTCAGGATCATAAAACCAAATGTCTGGCATATGGCTTAGGCATTGTCCCTTCCTCCAAGTTCAGAACAGGCCTGCCACTGTGTTGCCCCTGGAGGGTGGGGCACCCCATCTCAAACAATGACTTACTCATTTACAACTACCTTCCCTTCCCAGTGACCAACAGTCACAGTCTCCTGTCCCAAATGGCTACACTACCTCACTACCTGACACAGGACACCTAGCAGATATGAGGCTTATGTCCCCTTGAGCACTTGGGTTTTATCTCTGCAGCTCCTGGTCTCATACCCAGAATTTTATTTCCACTCATATACTTTATCTTTGATCATTTGGTGGGAGCTTGGTAAACGACAAGCAAAGGCTGCACCATGAGGCCTGCATTCCCGAATGGGCACCCGGGGCAACTTGCTTTCTGCAGCTTTACTGGAGATAGAGGAGATAGAGATCACAAAATGTGATATCAATGGTCAAAAGGCAGCTTCCTATTTTGGTGCGTGCAGTCCATCTGTTATGTCAGGGTATTTCCTGCCATTTATGACCATCTAAATCAAAGGTCATAACGATCCCTTATCTGAATAATCACAGAGAAGGGAGACCAACTCTGTCCCTTCCCTTCCTTCTCCAGTCGAAACCCCATCCCACTGGCTTCCAGAAAGCCAGAGCCAAGCATACTGCTGAGTTTCTGCTCATCCCCCGTGCCAGCGACAACTTCTCTACTGCTCAAATATTTCAGGGATCCCTTTCATCTTTGTTTGTTTCTTAATTGGCCTGATTAAAGTGTACAATCAATGGTTTTTAGTGTATTCAGTTGTGCAACTATCATCACATTCAATTTTAGAAAACTTTCATCACCCCCAAAAGAAACCCCATGCTCCTTAGCTATTACTTCCCAATTCTCTCCCTGCCCACCCAGCCCTCGGCAACCACTCATATACTTTCTGTCTCTATTAGATTTGCCTATTTGAGACATTTCTTACAAATGGAATCATACAATAGGTGGTCTTTTGTGACTGGCTTATTTCACATGGCGTATTTTCAAGGTTCATGCACATTACAGCACATATTATTGTAGTACTGCATTCCTTTTTATGGCTGAATAATATTCCATTGTATGGGTATATCATATTTTGTTTCTTCATCAGTTGATGGATATTGGGGTTATTTTCATTTCTTGGCTATTATGAAAAATGTTACTATGAACATCATGTACATGTTTCTCATGTTTCTGTGTGGACATAACTTTTCATTTCTCTTGATCACACACACATACACATGGTGCCAAGAAAATGTATACACATTTTAAGAAAGGGAAACTGTATTAAAATTGTAATACTCAATATATACCAATAACAAAAGATGACTACAAGTCACATTTGACTTCTGAAATTACAAGAGGTGCCCAAAGTGGTTACCATCAGCATCCAGACACTTCTGATTACGGTGAACTACAGCTTGAGCAACGTTGACTGAAGTGTCCACTTGCACACACTTTTTTGGCACCCTGGTATATATCTAAAAGTGGAAGTGCTAAGTGCTAGGTCGAATGGCCACTCTGTGTTTAGTTTTCTGAGGAACTGCCAGACAGCTTCAAAGTGCTTATATCGTTTTACATTTCCACAGTAGTGGAAATGTAAATGGGTGTTCTAATTTTCCCACATCCTCACACCATCACTTGTAATTTCCTGTTTGTTTTTTTAAATAGCCACTCTAGTGTTCTCTCATGGTGGTTTTGACTGCGTTTCCCTGATGGCTAATGATGCTGAGCATCCCTTCACGTGGTTATCGGCCACGTGTGCGTCTTCTTTGGAGAAATGTCTATTTGAGTCCTCTGCCCATTTTTAAATTGGGTTGCCTTTTTATTACTGAGTTGTAAGAATACTTTCTATATTCGAGATACAAGTCCCTTATTAGATGTATGATTTGCAAATACTTTCGCCCATTCTGTGGGTTGTCTTTTTAACTTTCTTGATGGTGATTTTTGAAGCTGAAAGGGATCTGAACAAGTCTTCCTAGAATGTGCCACTTTGGCATGCAGACCGTTTTGAGCTGAAGACGATCAGGCCCCACAGACTCAGGAAGAGCTTTTCTACCTCCCCCTTAACTGCCTAAAAGAATTTAGATGGAGGGCCTGGTACAGGAAGAGAGCTATCACCAGATAACTACAAAGAGTATGGCTAGGTGTGGTAAGCTATGGGGGAGCTCAGCAGGCCCTGGAGATCAAATTCCTCTCTGTGACTCATTGTCTCTGCATGGCATGGCAAACGTTTGTTTGCCAAAAAATGTGCTCTTCTCATCTTCCTGTGAATTGTCTGCCTCCCCTTTGAAGTCCTAGACCCCCTATCCGCTTCTCCTTAACTCAGGATGGCATATAAACCTCAAATGCCTGATTGCCTGTGGGTCTCATATATTTATGCACCCTCGTATGTATGTAATTAAATTTGTTTTTCTCCCATTAATCTGTCTTATGTTAATGTGATGATTAGACCAGCCAAATAACCTAGAAACGTAAAGGAAAAAAATTTCCTGCCCTACATGGCAGTTTTTAATTTTGATGCAGTCCAATCTATCTCTTTTGTTGCTTGTGCTTTTGGATATTCCTTTTTAGTACAGAAAATAAAGTCCCGGGCCGGCCGAGTGGCGCGTTGGTTAAGAGCTGGCTTCGGACACCAGAGGGCCCCGGTTCGGATCCCACATATGAGGGCCAGTGACACTGCCCTCTACAGCTAAGATGCTGAACAACAGCTCAACCTGGAGCT